CGTCATCATCATAACAATCATCAACATCGTAATCATCATCAGCAGCAGCATCCTAATCGTCATCATCGTCATCATCAGCAGCATCATCATTCTAATCACCATCACCGACATCACCATCATCAGCATCATCATCATCATCAGCATCATCATTGCCATCGTCATAAGTATCAGCAGCATCATCATCATCACCATAGTCACCATCACCAGCATCATCATCATCATCATCAACATCACCATCATCATCAACATCGTTATCATCGTCATCATCAGAATCATCATCCTCATCATCATCCTCATCCTCATCATCATCATCCGCATCAGCATCAGCTTCAGCATCATCACAATTCGCCGGCCCAACGGGCCAGAGGCGAGCAAAGATCTCTGATAACTACTTAACAATATTTCTAGTTCGCGCGCGCGGGGCGGCCCCTCGGGGCCCCCGGACGAAAAGTACCCACGAGGCCCAAGAGGCTCCCAAGAAGCCCCCAAGGGGGCCCCCAAGAGGCCCCAAAGAACGCACCAGAGCCGGCAGAATGAGCGAAGCGATTAAATATAGAATCACCATCACCAGCATCATCATCATCAGCAGCAGCAGCAGCATCACCAGCACCAGCATCAGCATCACCATCATCATCATCATCATCATCAGCAGCACAACAATCATCATCATCATCATCATCATCATCATCATCATCATCATCATCATCATCATCATCATCATCATCATCATCATCATCATCATGATTACCATCATCATCATCATCATCATCATCATCATCATCAGCATCGTCATCATCATCATCATCCTAATCCTCATCCTCATCATCATCATCATCCGCATCAGCATCAGCTTCAGCATGGTCATCATAATCACCATCACCAGCATCATCATCATAATCAGCAGCAGCAGCATCATCACCAGCGTCAGCATCATAATCAGCATAATCATAATCAGCATAATCATCGTCATCATCATCATCATCATCATCAACATCATCATCAGAATCAGCATCATCATCACCACCATCTTCATCACCATCATCATTATCAGCATCAGCACCATCATAGTCACCATCACCAGCAACATCGTCATCATCATCAGCAGCATCATCACCATAATGACCATCACCAGCATCCTCGTCATCATCAGCAGCATCATCATCAGCATTATCATCATAATCGTCATCATCATCGTCATCGTCAGCATCAACATCGTCATCAAAATCACCATCATAGTTTCTTCATCATCATCAGCAATACCATGATCAACATCATCAACGTCATCACCACCACCATTATCATCAGCATCAGCATCCTCATTCTCTTCATCAGCAGCATCATCACCATGATCATCACAATCATTATCAGCATCGTCAAGGTCGGCATCATCATCAGCATCATCATAATCACCATCACCAGCATCATCATCATTATCATCAGCAGCATCATCATCATCAGTAGAATCACCGACATCATCATCACAATCATCATCAGAACCACCATCACCAGCATCATCAGCATCGTCATTACCGTCGTCATCATCAGCATCAGCATCAGCATCAGCATCATCATCAGCTAAACCATCATGAGCATAATCATGATCATCGTCATCATCATCAGCAGATTCGCCATCATCAGCATCATTATCAGCACAGTCATCCTCAGCATCATCATCACACTCGCCGTCGTCATCATCATAATCACCTTCGGCATCATCATCATCCTTATCACCATCATCATGACCATCAGCATCAGCATCACTATCAGCACCATCATCATCAGCAATATCATCATCGCCGTCGTCATCTTCATCAGCAGCGTCAGCATCATAATCACCATCACCAGCATCATCAACATCATCATCATCAGAATCATCTTCGTTACCATCACCATCATCATCATCGTCACCATCATCGTCATCACCGTCATCATACTCATCACCATCCTCATCACCATCATCATCACCGTCACCATCATCATCATGAATATCATCGTCACCAGCATCGCCATCATCATCATCAGCATCCTCATCACCATCATCATCACCATCACAATTATTATCATGAACATCAGCATCACCATCATCATCATCACCATCATCATCACCATCATCATCAACATCGTGGGTATCATCAGCAGCATCACCAACACCATCATCATCATCACCATCACCGTCGTCATCAGCAGCATCATCAATCGTACCATCATCATCATCATCAGCATCATCACCAACATCATCATAACCATCACCATCAGCAGTATCATCAGCAGCATTATCAGTAGTATCAACATCATCATCATCAGCATCAGCATCAGCAGTATCATCACAATAACCCCCATCCTCATCATCATCAGCATCATCATCAGCATGAGCATGAGCATCATCATCATCATCATCATCATCATCATCGCCATCATGAGCATCATCATCACCACCATCGCCATCGCCACCACCACCACCATCATCATGGCCACCACCATCATCATGACCATCACCATCACCATGACCATCATCACCATCACCATCACCATCATCATCATCAGCATCAGCATCATCATTATCATCATCATCACCATCATCGTCATCGTCATCGTCCGCCTCATCATCATCAGCACCCTCATCATCATCAGCATCATCATAATCAACATCGCCAGCATCATCATCATCAGCATCATCAACATCGTCATCATCACCATCATCACCATATCAGCAAGCGTTGACTTAAAGATAAACGAGACTACTCAGATTTGGGAATCAGAGGAATCGAGCGTGCTTGGAATCCGCACTTCAGCAAGCAAGCGTGCAAGCAAGCGTGCAAGCAAGCAAACAAGCAAGCAAGCATAGGAGTAGGCATAGGAGTTAGCGGGGAGGCATAGGCATAGGAGTAGGCATAGGCATAGGCATAGGCATAGGCATAGGAGTTAGGGGGGAGGCATAGGCATAGGCATATGCCATAGGAATTGTGGGGGGCATAGGAATTGGGGGGGGCATAGAAATTAGGGGTCGGCAACGGACCTATTAGTAGGATGAGCTAGGACTCCTGTAGGGCAAGCCTATTTGGAGAATCCCAATCAGCATCATCATCATCATCATCATCATCATCATCATCCTCATCCTCATTACCATCATCATCACCACCATCATTATGAATATCATCATCAGCATCATCATCATCACCATCACCATCGTCATCACCATCACCATCACCATCGTCATCATCATCATCATCATCATCATCATCATCATCATCATCACCATCACCATCACCATCACCATCACCATCACCATCATCATCATCATCATCATCATCATCATCATCATCATCATCATCATCATCCCCCTCATTCCCGTCGTCTTCGTCGTCCTCCTCGTCCTCGTCGTCCTCGTCCGCGTGCTCGCCAGGGCCGCGCGGCGGGCGCGCTGGGAAGGCGCCACGAAGCGGCTTCCTGTTAGAGGCGGCTGTTTGCTGGAGGCCTGCACGGATGCGGCACTCGAGTGCTGACACACGCTGTGCACGCAGGCGGAGCTTAAGCATGAGTGATTTGCGAGCGGCCGATGCGGGGCCTCGCGTCTCCAAGGGCTCCCGAGGGAGTGCCGCAAGGCCGCGCAATGCTGAAGACTACGAGGTCGTGGGCGATCCGGGGCGCTGGCACGAGCTAGAATACGCTCCCTTGGCTGACACGTGCTTGCGCACAGCAGTGACAAGACTGCCGGGCGCCGTCTGCACCCGGCAACAGCGGCCGAGAACCGCGGAATCGCCACTCGCCTAGAAAATGTTCATGGTGATCCTCATCATTATCCTCGCCTTCGTCGTCATCATCACCATCAAGATCATTATCATCCCGTCTCTCCCGTCCGCTCAACACCTCTTGCGATCACACCGTCTGAAACTTGTCGCTTCTCCTCAGTATTTGTCGGCGCCGTCTGGCTGACCTTGCTCTCGCGCCGTCCACCGCAAGGCTCGCTCGCTCGCTCACTATTCATCGGACTCGGTCCTGCTGCTTCCCACCCTCCCAGCAATTACCTCTCCCTCACGGCCTCTCCCCCTCCTGCCCTCCTCCCTCCTCTGTCCTCCATGAACCTTTCTACAAGAAGGTCCCCAAAAAATTGGAGCCATCAGGACTGACACCGAGCTGGGGCAACGACCATATCATGGACAGAACATGAGCTTGACAATGGTCAGGACTGGACTAACGTGACTGAGCTTGGCGGCGCGCACAAGGGGGTAGGGGGAGGGGGGAAGGCTTCCTATAACGAGGCTGTTTCTTAGAAGGCGCCGGCCTTACATCTACAGACAAGGCCCGCGCCTTTAAGAAGCACAGGTGCTTCTGATAAGCCTCCCTCCCCTCCCCGACTTTCGGCTACACGCAAGAATGACCCTAGGCACGAATGCTCTTTGGTGAGCGGCTTAACGGGGGACGCGGGGTGGCCAAACCTACGCGCGCAAGCTGCTGCTACCGCTTCGCGTTCAGCGATCGGGGGACCCCATTGGGCCCGCACCAGAGGTCACCCCTGCGAAAGGTCACTCGAACGTCTGGTCGACCTCTGCGCGTAGCTGAGACTAGGCCTTCGACGCTGAGCGCTGTGCTCCCGCATCCCAGCCGCCGCGGGCTGCCCCCCCGCGCGAGGACGGCGGCGCCCGAGGACTCAGCAAGCATGGGCGCCGTGGGGGGCCTTGGCCACTCTCAAAAACTCCCACCTAAAACTTCCACCTCCGTGCACGGGCCGCCCTCTCCTGAGCTGATCGAGGCGGGGCGCCTCCTCCTCCTCCTCCTCCTCCTTCTCCTCCTCCTCCTCCTCCTCCTCCTCCTCCTCCTCCTCCCTCCTCCTCCTCCTCCTCCTCCTCTCCTCCTCCTCCTCTTCCTCATCCCTCCTCCTCCTCCTCCTCCCCCTCCTCCTCCTCCTCCTCCTCCTCCTCCTCCTCCTCCTCCTCCTCCTCCTCCTCCTCCTCCTCCTCCTCCTCCTCCCCCTCCCCCTCCCGAATCGCTGGCAGCGCCGCCTCCATCCAGATGCCGTGCGTGTCGCTCCAGTACCTGGCCCACCGCTGCCATCCCGTCTGGGCCGACCGAGTCGAGGGAGGGCCTGGCCCCTTTAGAGGAGGGAAGGAAGGGAGAAGGCAGTCACGCGACTGAGCTGCACGTCTTGCTTTGGCCCCTCACCAAGCTGCCTCTCGAGAGACTGATGGCGACGTCACCGCGCCCGCCTCCGTATCGTTCTTTCCTGATGATTGCCTCACTCAACAAGGACTGATACCCAGGTATTTGCGTCGAGCCGGTACCCCGAAATAGAAATGGCGAGGAACGTGTGTGGTTGTGTATGATCATGCGTGTATGCATATGAGCTCGTGTGTGCAACTACGTACGCACACCTGTCACGATTGCCCTCAACAAGGCCGTACGCACGCTTGTGAATGCCATGCGAATGATACGTACAAGTTCAATCGTCGAATGATAGTGTTAAAAGGATAATACGTCATCTGGGGCATGTCTTACGACATGCCCTTCATGTTTAGAAATAATATTGCCACCAGCCCTCTGGATGACTGGTGGCTCAGGAAGGTGTCCTACCGTCCTCTCTCCTGTCCGTGTCTGCCCATCACCCATCGTCTCGACTACGACAAAGCCAGGTCCAAGAAAGCCCACGACGCCCCCCCCCCACCCCCAAAAAATAAACACAGGATGGCCCCAAGACCCCGAAAAGCCACCAACAAATTGTCCATGGGACGTAAAGAAATTAAGCCATCAAGAGGCCCTCGAGGGGCTGCAAAAAAAAAGGCCCCACAAAAGCGAACGAAACAACCGAGCGACGCCACAATTGCACCATTCTACAGCGTTGGCTACGGAGCTTATCCAGGAGCTGTGGCGAATTTGCGCTGAAGCGAAACGTTCAACGAACGCCTTCGCTACATCGGAAGATCGCACTGGCGTAGTGCCTCCTATCCCGATTTGACTGGCTCCAGAACTCTGCGAAGTGGACACCCTCTCTCGTGCCCGCAAGTCCGGGGCTGGCTCGAAGAGCTCGCAGGGAATATAGACCCTCGCCCGAAGCAACTGGTACTTATGGCACGGCTGGGCTCCTGCCTGCAAATCTCGAGATGGCCCGAAGCTCGCGATAAATCTTCACCCTCGCCCCGACACGAAGCAAGCGGTCCTTCTGGCACCACCGGGCTCCTGCCTCCCCTTACTATCAATGCCTCTGAATACCTCATTCGCCCTGGAATTGGGAGCTCTGGGAGAGGTGGCACCAAGAACCGCCTCATCCTCAGTATCCTTGACACTCGTCCTCATGATCGCCATCACCGTCATCTGACGATCACCCTGCGGAGAAATCATGCACTCGGAAACAAGAGACCAGCGGCCCCCCGCCCCCGCCGCTCCCCCGACACACCACCCCGCAAAAACACACAACAACAACAACAACAACAACAACAACAACAACAGCAGCAGCAGCAGCAGCAGCAACAGCAACAGCAACAGCAACGGCGACAGCAACAGCAACAGCTGCAGCAACAACAACGACAACAACAACAACAACAGCAACAGCAACAACGACGACGACGACGACGACGACGACGACGACAACAACAACAACAACAACAACCACAACAACAACAACAACAACAGCAACAGCAACAGCAACAGCAACAGCAACAGCAACAGCAACAGCAACAGCAACAGCAACAGCAACAGCAACAGCAAACAGCAACAGCAACAGCAACAGCAACAGCAACAACAACAGCAACAACAACAACAACAACAACAACAACACACACACACAACAACAACAACAACAACATCAACAACACCACAACCACAACAACAACAACAACAACAACAACAACAACAACAACAACAACAACAACAACAACAACAATTACTAGCACGTGGGGACACTCCGTTCTCACCAGTGCCAGGGTTTTCATAGGAGGCGGGCAATACCCCCACTTTGTGGGGGGGCCGGTTCAAGCTCTACCAAATTTCCAAACGACTCTTCGCCACCACCCACACCCAGCTTCCCGCCCTATGACGTTCGGACACTTCACTTCGTGGCATGCGGACGACCGTGGCTACTATTCAGGGCCCCGCGGCCGACGACGACGGCGTGCGCGCGCGAAGAAAAAACGAATGTGTCCCGCATGGTATTATTTGACAGGGATGATGGCCCTGGCAGGTGCGCAACCGTTGTTGCAGAAGTTCGAAAAAGTTGTTCGCAAAAGCCCGTTTGACAGAAATCCGCAAAAGCCCGTTTGACAGAAATCCGCAAGAGCGCCCGGCAAAAGTGTTGGGTTTCCTACGAATCCGCAAGAGCGCGCGGGATGAAATGTTGACAATTTGTTTTGAAAAACCATTGGTTGTTTGATGTTTTTATGTTAAAATCGTTACGAAAACTAAGGTTTTGGAAGGATTTCGTCTTGCGCGCGCGAATGTCCACTTTACCTTATTTGTTTGCAAGGGATTCTTGAAGTTTGGATATGTTAGAACAAGAAATGTCCACTTTAGCATATTTTTGCAAGGGAAAACCGATCGTAACAACACAACCGGATCCGGACTCCCCCGTTTTGCCTGAGACTTCCTCACGAAAATGATGAAAATGAGGCTGCGGCCTAGGCGCGGCGGGGGGGTCGTGCACCAGGGGCCCCAACAATAATTATTCTTTAGAAGTAATAATGTTCAACAACAACAACAACAACAACAACAACAGCAGCAGCAACAACAACAACAACAACAACAACAACAACAACAACAACAACAATCATTTTACCCGAACGCGTGGTGTTCTCCCCAGTGCCAGGGTTTTCATACGACACCAGGCAATACCCCCACTTCGTGGGGGGGCATTACAAGCTCTACCAAATATCCAAACGACTCTTCGCGACCACCCAAACCCAGCTTCCCGCCCTATGACGTTGGGACACTTCACTTCGTGGCGTGCGGACGACCGTGGCTACTACACTGGCGTGGGGTACACACCCACAGAACTTGGTCACTTATTCGGGGCGCGCGTGTGCCCAGCATCCTGCAATTGTGACATACAATACATGACACAGACAGACAGAGAGAGAGACAGAGAGCAGACAGAGAGAGAGACAGAGAGAGCGGAGTTGGTCACATTTTTGGGGCAAGTTCCTGAGATCGTCGTGTTTTTTGTTGGTCTTGCGCGCGCGAATGTCCACTTTACTTTTTTTTTGCAAGGGAGTATTGAAATTTGATTATGTTAGAACAAGAAAAAGTAGCTCGCGCGAGCTCATGTAACATAAATGTTGAAAAACCATTGGTTTTGTGGGAGTCGGACAGCGCGCGCGGGATGAAATTTGGACATTTTTTTTTGAAAAACCATTGGGTTTTTGATGTTTTTATGTTGAAATCGCTACGAAACCTAAGGTTCTGGAAGGATTTCGTCTTGCGCGCGCGAATGTCCACTTTACCTTATTTTTTGCAAGGGATTATTGAAATTTGATTATGTTAGAACAAGAAAAAGTAGCTCGCGCGAGCTCATGTAACATAAATGTTGAAAAACCATTGGTTTTGTGGGATTCGGACAGCGCGCGCGGAAGGACATTTTGACAATTTTTTCTTAAAAAACCATTGGGTTTTTGATGTTTTTATGTTAAAATCGTTACGAAACCTAAGGTTTTGGAAGGATTTCGTCTTGCGCGCACGAATGTCCACTTTACCTTATTTTTTGCAAGGGATTCTTGCAATTTGATCAAGTAAGAACAAGAATTTTCATTTTATAGTGTTTTTTGCAAGGGAAAACGGACTACAACAAAACAACCGGATCCGGTAATAATTCACTTTTCTGAAGCTTTCGCTAAAAAATGATGAACATGTAGCTGCGGCCTAGGTTTTGGAGGGGGGTCGCGCACCAGGGGCCCCAACAATAATTATTCTTTAGAAGTAATAATGTTCAACAACAACAACAACAACAACAACAACAACAACAACAACAACGACAACGACAACGACAACAACATCATCACCAACAACACAAACAATCGTTTTAAGACTGTTCGCTCTTATCTGCTCGAGTGTCCGTTAACGCGTATTTATTTCTCAAACCCTCGATACCCGCCCTCTTCGTCTTCGATCGTACCCCTTCTGGGGGGTATACCTGTCTTCCCTGCAGGCCAGGCCCCGGCAAGCGGCGGGGCAGCCGCGGACCGTCGGCTTGGCCAGCGGCAGCGCTGATCGGCGGCAACCCGACCCCAAGGGGGACGGACAGGGGACCAACCACGACGACGACGACGACGACGACTACGACGTCGACGTCGACGACGGCGACGGCGACGACGACGACGACGAGCGAAAGCGAGAGCGAGAGAGAGAACGACAGCAGGGCCACGAAGGGCACGAAGTAGGCCACGAGGGGCGACAGCGGGGACACGAAGGGAACGCGTATGGGGCCGCGAAGAGCGCGAACGAAGGTGCGACGAAGGGCAGATTATGCGGGGCCACAAAAGGCAACAACGGGGCCACTGAGGGTAGCAACTGGGCCACGTAGGACAGCGAGGGGGCCACGAAGGGCGACAGCGGGGCCACGAAGGGCATGCACATGGGGCCACGATGGGCGCGAACAAGCTGGGGCCACGAAGGGCATACGTATATTGGGCCGGGGTAAGCAAGGACAGGGCCACTGACGGCAGCAACGGGGCCACGAAGGGCAGCGAGGGGGCCACGAAGGGCGACAGCGGGGCCACGAAGGACATGCATATGGGGCCACGACGGGCGAGAACGAGCGGGAGCCACGAAGGGCATACATATATGGAGCCACAAAAGGCAACGAGGGGGCCACGAAGGGCTGCAACGGGGCCACGAAGGGCAACGAGGGGGCCACGAAGGGCTGCAAGGGGGCCACGAAGGGCAGCGAGGGGGCCACGAGGGGCGGCAACGGGGTCACGAAGGGCAGCAAGGGGACCACGAAGGGCTGCAACGGGTCCACGAAGGGAAGGGAGGGGGCCACGAAGGGCTGCAACGGGGCCACGACGGGCAGCGATTCGGGCCACGAAGGCCTGCAACGGGGCCACGTTGGGCAG